AAAAAAAAAAAAAGAATTGAAAAAGGGGTTGGAAAGAGGAAGATCGCCAATCAGCAAAAAGGGGTTGGAAAGAGGAAGATCGCCAATCAGCCGCCCACGGTTCGGATATTGCATGGGATGCACAATTTGATCGTCCTCAACCCCTCTTGTTTTTTTTTTTTTCGTTTTTTTTTTTTTTTTTTTGCGGTTCTGATCGTCCTCAGAGTAGTTGACTTGTCCGTGCCCCTCATCGTAACCGTTGACGTCATCGAAATCTTTCCGTTCAGATGATGATGGGTTCGGAGGAATCCTCGAATGATCGAGCTCGATGGATGGGCCTCGCTCCACTACTCGACAAATTCTACATGGATTTGGACGTTTTCCGGACCAGGTGCATTTGGACACGTCCAAAATTTCCGAATGTATCGGGACGACTACGAGGTCCAGATACATATAGTTTTGATCTGTAGTGGAACGATGCCTGAGGGGCAGAGATTGATCGAAGGATCGGACGAGAGACGAAATCGACGGCGGCGCGACGGTGATGTCGAACAAACCCCATGGACAGCAATTTTTTTTTTTTTTCTTTATAAAAAAAAAAAGCTAAGCTATATTCTTCTCTCGAAAAACTTTCGCCTTTCAGGCTCTCACTATCTACCCACCACTACTCCTAAAGCCTATACACGGGACCCCTGCAGGCATAGCTACCTCCCACAATTAAGGGGATGCATGCTGCCCCCGCGCTAATCGTGGGTGGTCAGGGAGTAGGGTGGGGCAGCCGGTGGGGGGACAGCAAATCAATTCATGACTCAAAGAAGGTAATCAGTAAAAAAAAAAAAAAAAAAAAAAAATTGTAAAAGGAAGAAAAAGGCCGAAAGACAAGGAGCTCGCACTGGTCATGGCCACGTGTACGTTAGACATTGGCGATGGTAGACTATCGTAGACTCTTTTCTTTTTCTTTTTTTTTTTTCCTCTTTTTTGGCGCTCTTATTTCCTTCGTCCATTTTTTGCCTATCCTACGTTGGAGATGAGATGATCCTTCTATTTTTAAATGTTTATTTATTTACCTTTTTTACCTTCTTTTTTTTTCGTCGTCCACTTTCAATTCCAATCGGTCATCCATTCTGACGGCAGTGACAGGTAAGCAGGCGCAGACGTAGCTGATCGCGGGTTCGATTCAAGTCAAAATTGAGCGCAAGGGGTAGTTTGACTTAGAGTCAAAATTGAGCTCGAAGGGGTGTTTTAACTTTTCTCTGCAGCGATTCTTGGTCTGCCCACGTGTGCGCATTGACTTGCTCAAGGTGTGGACAGGGAGCTACTTCTTTTTTTTTTTTTTTTTTTTTTTTTTTTTTTGGGGGGGGGGGGGGGGGGGGGGGGGGAAAGGGCCAAATAAATTGTGGGGGGGGGGGGGGGGACTTTTTTTTTGGGGGGGGGGGGGGAGGGGGGGGGGGGGGGGGTTTTTTTTTTTTTTTTTTTTTTTTTTTTTTTTTTTTTTTGGAGGAGGGGGGGGGGAAGGGGGACGAAATGGTCCAATCAATTCGTCAGGATCGGGAGCAGCACTTTTCTTTGCGGGGGGAGGGGTTGGGGGTGGGGGGAGCGGTTCTTTTTTTTTTTTTTTTTTTTTTTTGGTTGGGGGAATCTTTGGTCTTTCTTCTGTGTGCCAATCACAGGGTTGATAGGGTTGATAGGGTTGAGAGGGTTGGACAATACCTTTCTCGGTCTTTTGGCTAAGTAACATTAAGTACAGTGTATCTGGTCGGCCTTTTGGCTAAAGTAACATCAAGTACAGTGTATCTGTTCTGATCAGTTTTATGTCTCTGATCCGTGGTCCATCTGGCCACATTACAAAAAAAAAAAAAAAAACGGCGCAGTGGTAAACAGCGGACTGGTGAATATCACACGCCGGGTGATAGCACACTGGTCAATAGCACACTGGTCGAATAGCACAGAGGTCGAATAGCACTGAGGTCGAATAGCACAGAGGTCAATAGCACAGAGGTCAATAGCACAGAGGTCGAATAGCACATGCTGGCGTTAGCCTATAGCCTGTCGCGAATAGCACAGTGGTGAAAAATCGCGCAATGGCCTGTGGCGAATAGCACAGCGTAACGTTAGCCAGCGGGCGCATAGCACAGCGTACCGTCTTCACCCGAATAGAACGCCCGGTCATTATCGCTGTATCTAGTCTGAAAGTTGCACCGAATTCAGCTACAATGACCGGGCGTTCTATTCGGGTGAAGACGGCAGTGTTGGCCTGTTGTTGTGAATCGCCAAACGACAATTTTGATTGGACGGATTTGTTTGGACAGATCTCAACCATTAACTTCACGAATAGCGTGCAAGTGTTCAATTGAGGAGCGATCGCAATGAACAGATCTAGCTCTCTCTCTCTCTCTCTCTCTCTCTCTCTCTCTCTCTCTCTCTCTCTCTCTCTCTCTCTCTCTCTCTCTCTCTCTCTCTCTCTCTCTCNTGTGTGTGTGTGTGTGTGTGTGTGTGTGTGTGTGTGTGTGTGTGTGTGTTTGTCTCACACGCGTGCGCACGCACAGTCAATATACCAGGCTGAGTGAGACCGACACAGATCTCTCTCTCTCTCTCTCTCTCTCTCTCTCTCTCTCTCTCTCTCTCTCTCTCTGTTTTTATATTTTGTTTTTTGTTCTTTCTGGTGCTAAAGGTATCTCTGATGAGAGCCGCTGAATTGGCGCCGATGAGCAGAATTTGGGTTTGACTTCACTGTAGTTGTACGTAGACGAACGCTCGATGAGCTTCTTGCGCGGTAGATGGACTTGAATGGGAGGGGAAGAGAGGGGGGGGGAGCTAATGGATCCCGATTGAACGTCTATGATTCTGCTCCCATCTTTTTCTGATTGGAAATTTTTCATTAAAATTTTCATTTTATGCCTGAATATTGCCATTTGCTTCTCCTTTACCTTTTCATGTCTCTTGTCTTTGTCATTAATTTCGTTTGCCCAACGAATCCCCATACATGTTCTCCTCTTCGTGTCTCTGGTTGTTGTTGTTGTCATCAATATTCCATTTATCCATGAACATTCCGTTCGACTGAAGGGAGATCAAGGACGCTGAAAGATGAGCAGGAGAGCTGTCCAGATTTGAGTAGCCGGTTAAGGCGCAGGTGCTAGGTTATAGAGAAGGCGGAGAAGGAGGGGGAAGAGGAGGAAGACGAGAAGGAGGAGGTGGAGGAGGAGGAGGAGAAGGAAGGGGAAGTCTGGAATTGCCACGTGGGCAGCAGGAAAGCGTTCCAGATTCGACAAGTGGCTCAACCACCGCCTCAACTGGTCGGGGAAGGAGGAGAAGGAGAGGAAAGGAGTAGAAGGAAGGGAGGAGGAGGAGAAGGAAGGGAGGAGGAGGAGAAGGAAGGGAGGAGGAGGAGAAGAAGTCCGAGGAGGTAGCAAGTGTGGGGACGTGGGTGATTGCCACGTGGCAAGGAAGAAATCGTTCCAGATTCGACAAGGTGCTAAAGGAGTTGAAGTTAGTCATAAAGCTCGACTCCCGCAAGAAGCTCAAGGTACTCGAGAGTCGACAAGTGGCTCCAGTTGCTCAAGGAGAGGAGGAGGAGGAGGAGGAGGAGGAGGAGGAGGAAGCGAAGGAGTGTAGAGTCGTGGATGATTGCCACGTGGACGACAAGAAAGAGGTCCACATTCCTCAAGTCGGTCAAGTAGTTGAACGAGCTGAAGAAGCTCAAGAGGCGACCAGTCGCTCGATTAATTCGAAAAGCTCCTACAGCGGTTGGTGGTGGTGGAGGAGGAGGAGGAGGGGGAGGAGGTGGAGGAGGAGGAGGAAGTGGAGGAGTGTTGGGAGAGTCGATCGTTGCCACGTGGGCCGCACGAGAGCGTTCCTAATTGGGCAAGCCGTTCAAGAAGACGAAGTCGCCGAAGAATCTCAAGAAGCTCAAGAGTTGACACGTGGATCAAGTCGCTCAAAAATCTCAAGGAGGAGGAGGAGGAGGAGTATGGGGTCGTAGGTCATTGTGAAGGGGCGAGCGAATAGCGTTTAAGATCGGCGAGTCACTCAAGGAGCTCGTAGAAGGAGGAGGAGAAGGACGAGGAGGAGGAGGAGGAGGAGGAGGACGAGGAGGACGAGGAGGACGAGGAAGAAGAGGTAGAGGATCCGTGGCACGTGGACATGTGTGTTTTCGTTTATCTATCCGGCGTGGGTGATCATTGTCTTTCCTAATCTGATCCAGGTCAGATTCTTTCCTAATTGGGCGTTGCTTTGGGCTTATCTTCAAACAGCTTTCTTTCCTAATTGAGCGTTTCTTCGTACTTGGCTCTCCGAGCCTCTCCCAACTCTCCTGTGGATTGTGTAATCCACTGTAGCATTAAATAGTAATAATAGTAATAATAATAATACAAATAATAAAAATAAAATAACAATAGGAGTTATCATTGCTGTGGCATTCATCGTAATCAGCATGCTAGCGTTCCATGTAGAACAAGCCACTCTTTTTTTTGGGGGGGGGTGTGTGGGCCGGGCTGGGGGGGGGGAAGATGGGCGGGGTAGGGAAAGGGGGGGATGGCCACTCAAGAATAGCACCTTTACCACAGGTTAAAAGGGGAAAGGGAAAACAAGAAGCTACAACAACTTTAACGGGAGAAGGAAGCGGGGGAAGGGAGTAGAAGGGAGAGGAGAGAGAGGAGGAGACAGAGGAGGAGAGAGGAGGAGAGAGAGGAGGAGAGAGCGGAGGAGAGGAGACGAGGGGGGTTCAAAGGGGCGGGAGAAGAGGGGGGGKGATTGGGAGGGTACAGAATCGTCTCTTTTTTTTTTTTTTTTTTCATTTTTTCTTTTGGATTTCTTTTCGTGGGTCCATCGAGTAATTAAAAAAAATGGCCGGTGCTTGCTACATTCGTCTGCCCCTCATGGTCTGGTTAGCTCGGACCGCCCTTTTCGTTTTCCACCGTTAGGAGGAGGTCGTTTGGTGCCAGACCGTCTGCTGCCGTTATGGTGTTTGCTGCCACTGCGCTTATGTCGATGTCTGCTATCCTTTCTTCGGCTGTCGGGATCCCTTGCAGCGTCGCAATGGGCGACGACAAGAATTGCACGGCTTTCGTTGCTTACAGACCTCGGCGTGCTGACACGTGGCATGATTTGGCGATAAGATTCGCACAGGATCCAGTCATTAATCCTTATCCAATCCTAATCCATGGCGGTTCAGATAATGATCTGCTGACACTGCTGTCGCTGTTTCCAGTTCCATGCTCTTGTAATGAATCGCGGCGACAGTTTGAGACCGACATTTTCTATACTGTTGAGACCGGAGATAGCCTTTCCGGGATTGCCTATCTTAAGTACGAGTCCCTCTTATCCGTTGCGGATATGGTTCAAGCAAACGGTGTATCGGATCCAGATTACGTTCGCGTTGGATGGAGGCTAAAAATAGCCATCCGCTGCGCGTGTAACTCCTCGTCATCAGCAGGTCGCGACTTCGATTCCTATATCACCTATTGTCCCAATTCCACTTTCGAAACGCCCGCTGACGTGGCACAGAGATTCAACACCACCGTCGCTGCCATTCGGACGGTCAACGGAATTGTCGGACCAAGGTTTGACCTTTTCGATCGCGACAACCGCCCTTTGGTTATCCCGACGCACAGGATCTTCCAGAGACCCTCGGCCCCGCCTCCTGTCGACGCGACCCCTGTAATGCCGTCCGTCGCAACACCGCCAGCACCGAGCGTGTCGGGGCCCCGATCCCGATCTTCTTTCGCAGTCAGCAGCAGCCAGATCGCGCTGTCGGTGCTCAGCGCGCTCGTGGTGGTTATTTTTGGCGTTATCTGCGCTCTGATCGTGTGTTTTGTGAGGCAATTGCGCTTGGCGCGCAGTACCGGGGCCAGATTTGGACTTTGCCTTAGGCTTCGCCCAAGTGCGCCACGTGGCATTGGTGATCGTGAAGTGGATAAGGCTACAAGACGGCCACGTCAGTGCTATCCTCTACCTCCTCCTCCTCCTCCTCCTCCTCAAAGAGTGAAAAGAGGCAGAGATGAGGAGGTGATTCTCCACAAGTTTGACTGCGGAGAGGCTGCTGCAGGTCGTGCGGTTGCAGAGGTTGGCTGCTGCGAAGCTAATGATGTGGGAAGAGCAGGAGCAGAGGGAGGAGGGAGAAGAGGAGGAATGGGAGGAGGAGGAGGAGGAGGAGGAGTGAGGAGAGATCATATTAAGCGGCACAAATGTGAAACGGATAATAAGGTTATAAACAATCTTGATCTGTCGGAGCTAGAGAAGGAAGGTCGAAAGTTCATTGTCTTTTCACGAGAAGAGCTTGAACAGGCCTCCAACGGGTTCTCCAGCGATAATCAGATCGGTAGAGGCTCCTCTTGCAGAGTGTTTTACGCTCAGCTGCGAGACAGAGAGGTGGCCATTAAGAGGATGAGGTTGGTCTGGCGACGACAATTCCAAAAAGAGCTGAGAATTCTGAGTCAAGTCCATCACAGGCACCTTGTTGAGCTCATAGGGTTCTGCACAGAGCAGTACCTTTTCCTTGTGTACGAGTACTGCCACCAAGGGACGCTTAGCAGCCACCTGCACTCGCCTGACACCTGCGGTGGGCCTCTGGACTGGAGGACGAGGGTTCAAATCGCACTAGATGCAGCTCAAGCTTTGTTGTATATTCACGACCGGGTGCATCCTGCCTACGTCCACTGCGACATCAAGTCGCTAAACATCCTGTTGGACCGGGATCTCAGGGGCAAAGTCGCCGACTTTGGGGTCATCAAACTTATCATGCCGGAGGGAGAGAGTTTGGCGGCTGCGGGTCTTCGGCACTCCCGGAAGAAAAATGGTACCTTGTCGACCAAATTTGCCGGGACGTGGGGCTACATGGCCCCGGAGTATATGATCTATGGAGAGGTCACTCCAAGTTGTGATGTCTACTCTTTTGGAGTAGTACTTCTCGAGCTCATCACCGGTCAAAGGGCCATATTGCCTCGAGAAAGGTTAGCGGCGGCAGAAAATTCGGAACTTGCAACCCATGTTACTCAACCACCTACCTTACCTGCAACCCTGGCCTCCTCAGTTGCCCCCCTCATCAAGCAGATGACTGCAGCAGAAGACGTGTCTGCCATCGTAGACCCTCGGCTTGACATTGCCTACCCTACAGACCTGACTCTTCAGCTAGCCAGACTGGCCGCACAGTGTGTGGAGCTCGAGCCCGATGACCGGCCGGAAATGAAACGAGTTGTGTACGTTCTCGACGAAACACTAAGTCTTGCAATCTCTCGGGTGTGTTCATCAAACACTGATGACAAAATGTTGGCGGTGAGGATTGCACAAGATTCAATCCCGGTGTGACATTGGAGGTTGTACACATTCATGGAATGGATTTCGCATGCATTGTTACGTGATCACACTCCTGCATCGCTTGGTACGCCTCTCTCTCTCTCTCTCTCTCTCTCTCTCTCTCTCTCTCTCTCTCTCTCTCTCTCTCTCTCTCTCTCTCTCTCTCCGTGTGTGTGTGTGTGTGTGTGTGTGTGTGGAGTCTGCTGCAGCAGGTGGGTTGTGAATGTATGC